TTATAAAATAAACAAATATGTTAAATACCCAAAATAATTAATTCAATACGAGCAGGTAGTAAATTCTAAATATAGACATATTTTTAAATAAGTCCCTAACAGCCAGATGTTGACTATTTCCGAATGCCTCCGAACAATTACAATGGAGCATTCAAATGGTCATTACTTTCCGTAACTGTACATTCATTCATCAAGATATCAAGTTTAGGAATTTTTAAAGTAACCATGTTGGCAACAACGCATAAAACCATGAAAGAATTATATTTTTAGTAGGTACCCACTAGGTAATAATTATTATTTTAACTCGAAAATTTTTAAAAATATAATATAAAAAGCTTAATTAAGTTAATTAAAAAATATAGATATTAACTTTTAATAAGGCGACTTAAAGTTATAAAAAAGGCATTGTTAAAATCTTTATAAAAAAATATTTTGAAATGAAATACCTTTTCGCAAAGACTAGGAACGAGAAACATTAACTACTTTGTCAAAAGAAACAATTGGTAAGCGAATTTTACGTATATTAATTTACAATAAACTACCCAAAAGTTAAACTTCGTAATGCCATAAAAAAATCTGAGCTAACTTTAACAACCTCATTGATGGTTTTGTTATTAAATAGATATATTTTAAGCAAAAATCAGTGAAATCCGGTTTAACCCGTAACCAGTACTGTGGTGTCTGGGAGACACTCATCAACGAACAAAGCCCTGTCCCACCCTCACCTTTTGTTTTAAAAATCTGTCGCTTCCAATACTTTTAAGTTGAGCAGTTATCAATATGCTCTCAGACTTTGAACAAGTTGGATTGTCAAACGGACAAATTATTACAAGTCAAAGTGTTGAGGTGTCTAGTAGACCACTGTGTACCGTTTACATAATTTTTATAAAACAATTAATTCGTTATGAATTCGCAACAAGGACCTTCTTAAAATGTCCAAAGTGACAAGAAGGGCTTCAAGAAAACTGTAATGTAGTGGTTTTATGAAATCGACAGCGATATAAGTGATATAGATGACTGTAGTATACTACATAACCATTATAGTGATTATGTCGTTGAAGATAATCACAGCAGCGATTCAGGACTTGTCTGTGAAAAGTCTATAGAAAATAATTTTATAGGGTCAGATAGTGAAGAATTTGAAATTTTTTAAGAATTTGAAGAAAAAAAAACAAAAAAGTTACTATGGAAAAAATAATTGTAAAAATCAGCTATAGTTTGAAGCAGTTATTTTTGCTGTTAAAAAAGATATATTTGAATTTTTTTTGTTATGTTATTTTTTAAGGTATATTCTTCGAAATAAAGATCGTTTTATTTTGTTTGGTTTAACATTTTTTATAGTTTAATCACAAATTTTACACTACTGCACTTTTTGTAAATGTTTTGGTTAAAACCTATTTGTTTAAATTTTTCTTTTATTTAGGTATTATTTTTGGTGATATTCTAGCTTTATATATAGTTTCTAGTATCCCCAAAGCCTCAGATAAAAAAATTATCTCAGACCCCTTAGTACCGTTTATGACCTGAAAGTCGTACCGTACCGGTTACGGGTTAAAATTGGTCACCCCAAATTTGTCGCACACTATTATCGGTTCCAAAAAGTGTCCACCATGAAAATAATAATACCTTTATTTTTAGCAGTTATTGAATTAATTTTTTAATTTTGTTTCTGCTTTTATTCTTTCTCTGCGTTCTCTAGAGAACGCCGTGGTTTAACCCATCATGTCTGTAAAAGTCCATGCTGATTTAAATAAATTTATAAACAACATTAAAGCGTACTAAGATGAGTATGCAGAACGTTTTCTGTTTTATGTACATTTTAATAAAAATATGATGGGATAAAAAGATTAATTCAAAATGACTAGTTTTCGTAGTGAAAAAGCATCCACTAATAAAGTTATTAGTGGATGCTTTTTCACTATGAAAACTAGTCATTTGGAATTAATCTTTTTATTCCATAATATTTTTGTTATATTATTACCTTTATTAAATTATAAAGTTCTGATAATTGCATCGCAAGAAAAATTTCGCCCGTAATTAAAGTTTGTTTTAAGAATCGGGGATTTTAACCAAATCTTTCTTGAAATCATCAACGCATAGCCAATCTTTGCAGGAAATCTCCTGGTAAACGGTCTTGTAGGTGATGGGGACATAATATTTTGCAATGGCGGATATTTGGCTTTTATTGTCCTCGACACTAAATTCGCGCTTAAAAGTAGCTAATATAAATGATAATATTTTACAAAAGCTTAGTTAAGCATAAAGGGTTCTAAGCTATCAAAAAAAGAAAAACAAAAAACGATGTAAATAGAAACTATTTAAGTCGAAAAAACTCAAAAATATTTTTGGGTTAAAATGTCCAAAACACATTTGGCACTAAGAATTTTTAACGGCGTGTCAAAATTGATAATATGCATTTTGCTTTAAATCTAGTTTTTGGTTATAATTAAAAAATTTGTAAAAAAGAAACATGTATATATACATAAAATTAGTACTAAAACCTAAAAAAAATTATAAAAACTTTAGGCAAACTTTAACCAATTTACTTGTGAGGCAAAACGCGCCAACCCTGCCTTGACATCTTGGAACACGCGTTTTGTAGCTAGAGGGTTTACATTGGTTTAGTAATTAGCTTATATCTTAACCAACTTTAAAAAACCAAATGATTTTAAATCACTTTTTATGCTCTACATCATGGCCTACTTATTTTTTAATTTCTAAAAAAATATCCTCATGGTTTTGTCCAATAATGTAAAAAAATTATTTGAATATTTTGTTTTGTACTTTTAAAATTAAAGTATCCCAAGTCAATTCCCATGTAGACTAAAATTCTTGCCGCTTTTGCTCATATTTGGTCAAAACGCGATAGTGGAACAATTTTGAAGAAGTATTTGTCGTTGTTTAACCCTTCTCCCTTCGCCATATTTACCTAGTAACTATTTCCTGTTTCTTAACCTAAAAAATTACTAATGGAAAAGAGATTTTATTGCAACAATAAAAGTGGAATCTCCTTTTCCGCCCAAGCAGATCTGGACAGTAAATCTTTTTATGGACAAGTTTTTATTTTATAGAAAATTTATCTAGTGCTGGAATATTAAATTCTTCCTATAACAGATTACGTCCATATTACCCTCTGGATAAGCAACAAGAATACCAGATAGTTAATAGTATATTCTGTAACAAGTTTGGAATACAGCTTATTCCACACGAGCCGAAGGCGAGTTTGACGGTTTCACGAGAGCGGAATATGCAAATTCCAAACTTGTTTCAGACTATACTTTTTCTACGTTTCCAAAAAATACCATATAAAAATAATTTAATTAGAAGAAAGTGAGGTTGGATCGGTCTAAAATTTGTTAAATATTAAAAACACCACGAGTGTTTATTCTGTCATCCGATCCGTAAGATAAAAGTGATATTAGTACGGTCAAATTCCGTAATAGGAGTAGAAAAACAATATTCTAGTTTAGTCAAAACTAAACTAAAGTACAGTAAGTTTAGTGCATAAACATTGTTAAAAGATTTACAGTTCCGATAAATAAAAGCAAGCACCTTATTAGCAGAGTTACAAATATTTTAAATCTGCAAAGCAAAACTATCATAGGCTCTTTCCATTTCAATACAACCGGTACGCGCAGGTCATGATTTTCTTTTTCTATGAAACTTAAATATATTGTTTTTTGGTCAAAATAATAAGACCCGTATTTTTTTTGGCGAAAAAAAATTTTTTGTTGATTTTTGGCGATTTATTTTTGCGGTAAAAATCGATTTTTATCGTTGATCGAAAAAGCTTTTTTTTAAATGTGTATAACTTGTTCAAAAATTAACCGATTTTGACAATTGAACTTGCAAAATGCTTGTACTGATTAACACTTTCCATTAAATGTAACAAAAATTTTAAATTCATTGTGATAATTTTTTTATACGATATAAAACGAAAATTACAGATTTTTTTTTAAATTTAATTTTTCAATAAGTGTATTTTTTATTTTTTTTATTTTTTATTTATCAAAAAGTAGACATTCCAAACTGCAATTTGGCTAAGGAACTGTTAGCCAAAACTTTTCGTTAAGAAGATATGAATTTTTTTTTATTGCGTGCTGCTAAATAAATTTGATTTTTAAAGTAAGTTTTATGTTTAATACCAAACAAATAATATTGGAATTTAAAGTTAATTGTAGTATAATCGTTTTACGTGAAAAAACAAGGCAATAGGTCAACAACAAGTTATACCCATTTAAAAAAAGAGTTTTTCGGTCAACGAAAAAAATAAATCACCAAAAATCAACAAAAAAATACGTGTCTCATTATTTTGACCAAATAATAACATATTTAAGTTTCATAGAAAAAGAAAATCATGACCTGCGCGTACCGGTCGTTTTGAAATGGAAAGAGCCCATAAAATTCCAAGATTCTTGTCTAAGCTAGAATGGGGAAATGTAATATCTTTAATATTGTGGTTAGATCTAATTAAATAAAGTTTAAGAGTAAACGAGCAAACTATATAATATATTTAAAGTTTATTTAAAGTTATATAATATTATATTATAATATTATATAACTTTAAATCGCCAGCAAAAAAAGTTAGAGTTTTTAGTAAAGAAACCAGATCATTAATAAATACACATTTATTTATAATTTTCTAAAGCTTAAACCTATCAATTATTTTAAAGAATCTGATAGTCCAAGTAAACTAAGTTTGAATCTGAACCCACGCCTTTTATTAAGTTTAAATTTCAGCGGACAAAAATACCTAGAAATATCATGGCGCAGACTACTCTTTTTTGTGGGCCTGTTACAACTAAGTTCTTTTTTGTGTATAAACTTATAGATTTTGGTAAATAACGACATTTAAAAAACCTTTCTTAATATTTAAAATTTGTCAAGAAAGCTGAGGTATTTTTATTTTAAATATTTTTTAGCAGTCTGGTAAGTTTTTTTTTTATTATAAATGTAATGTGGTATCATGTGGTAGGTTAATAAATAAAATTAAAACTTACCATAGTCCTCTTCATAAATAATGGCAACTTTGGTCCAATTAAGAAAAGCCATGACATCCTGAAAGGCAGTATTGAGAAGTTGCTGGGCAGGGTATAAATTTATAGAAAATTCTCGTACGTCAGTCTCTAGATCTAAACGCGCCTCTAAATGGGGAATGTCTAAGGCATCGCAAATTGAATGAATGTGGGCACCAAGTAACGGATCAGAGGGACCGAACATTGCGTGCACGCCATGTTGAACTTGGTGGCAAGCTAAAAAGATAAAAACATACATCTTGAATACTAACCATTTTACTTAAATAAGAAAATTAAAAACACAAATAAATAATAAACGAGGTTGGGTAAATATATTTGTGACTTGAATTTAAGGATAGATTTTTTGGTAAAACAATGTTGTTTATTTTAACATAGTCTTTGAGCTTAATATACTTTGTCTAATATTTCTACAATTTGATAACGTTTATTGAAAAGGAACCAAGCGCCAAAACTTTTTTTGGGGTAAACAAAATTATTTGCAAAATAACTCATTTTTATTGCTGCTCAAAAAATTAATAAAGATTTGGGAACCCTCTCAATCCTTTTAATAAATGTTGATGATCAACCTTTTGAGCATTATTAAAAATGAGTTATTTTACAAATAATTTTACAAAGCCCAGAAAAAGTTTTCTGCGCTTGGTTCCATTTTAATAAGCGTTCCAATTATTTAATCCCTTACAAATAGTAAGATTTAAGAAGTTTCTAAAAATAGGCGTTTTTAAAGCGATTCTCTTTTTGTTGCAATTGAATCTCTTTTCCATTAGTAATTTTGTAGGTTAAGAAACAGGAAATAGTTACTAGGGGTTAAATCTGGAGAATATGGCGAATAAGGAAGGATTAAACAATTACAAACACTTCTTCAAAATTGTTCTACTATCGCGTTTTGATTAAGTATGAGTAAACGCGGCAAAAATATTTCGGGTGGCTTTCTTATATTTAAGTGATTATAAAACATCTGCTCATATCAAAGTTATTATAAATATGAAATGCATATTGCTTTTTTAAACTCATACACTTCTAAGCTCAAATCTGCCAATTGTTTAAAATTATTACAAGTGCTTGTGCGATCACAACAAAATTCAGTAAACCACTTTTTAACAATAAAATTAATGGTACCAGTCCTAACAGTATTTAGCAAGCTTATACTTGATTTGATAGATTTTTTTGCTTGATGCTTGATGAAAACAAGAAATTCTCTTATTTACATTTTTGCCTTCGATGACTGCCACTTAAACTAAATTAAGCAGCTTGCTCAAAATTTCACAGTATACTGACTATAGTCTGCCGACAGATGGCAGTTAATTGAAGTAATGTTACTTATCGAATTTTAACGCAAGAAATTTAAAAAGTCATGGACCTATTGACTTACCCTCGTAACCCCACAAAACTTTTAAGAAATATGAGCGTTTTTATATTACTTATTTATAACAATATAAGTAACATTTTTTATAATTGGACGCCTTTCTACAGAAAGGAACCAACCCACAAAACCAAAAAAATCGAGATATTTAGCATATGAACTAATTAAGTATGTATAATTTATCTGCAAAATAGGTCATAGCCAAAATGCAAGTTATAGTGAAATCTATTAATCATTGAACCAACCAACATTCAATAATAGTGTGGATTACTAATCCAGAATTAGAATCTGTAGAATATCTGCAAGTGTGTTGGATCTTTTTTGTAAAAAAGCAGGCTAGTAGACCCACTACCAAAGTCTTTAAAGATTTCCTGCTTCTGCAAAATATAAAGTCTTGATGCATTTTTTTGGTAGCTTACGATGAGGTGGGGTTGGAAGATGATGTGGACGAATTTCAAATAGAATCAAAATTATTTCATATTACCATTATAATAGTAATATCAGTTGTATTTTGTTTGGAAATAAATAATTGTCGCTTTTCTTTAAATACATACATACATCAGATAGTAGTTTTCATAAATTGCAGAAAGGAACCAACCAACAAAAGCCCATTTTTTTCGTCACCCTTACACATAACATCACAAAATCCACCTGATGAAATTATATCCCTTAAACCTCCGTAAGTCCAAAATCGGCATAAAATTAACAGGTAATTTTAAAATTATTTAAATCTTTGATAGCTTTTTTCTCAGTTTCATCATGGTGTGGGTTGGTCCCATTCTGCAGAAAGCCGTCCAATTATGAGGATAAATAATATGTTTCCAAAAATGTATTTACTTTTTCCTCAAAAAAAACCATTATGGTTAATCAAACTTTAAACCAATAAGATTCTTTTATCTCTTAAGTATTCGATTATATCTATGATGTAAAAATAATTAATAAGACGAATTAGGTGAAGTTTTTTACTTCCTAGTCTGTAAAAAACCCGTTGGGACGAAACAAAAAATTCCAACTACTGACAGCTCTGAAGCTATTTAACCTTACTTTATACTTTTAATAATTATTATTATAATTTTAAGCACAACCCACACAACAAGGTCTGTTCTTTAGCAGTTCGCGCAGACTGAAAATTACCAAATTCTTGCCGCTATATTGTTTGTTTACGTTTCAAGCGTGTAGATTTTGATTTGGTTAAATTTTGTGTTTTATTGTGTTTGTTTTAGTGCCTTATTTGCCTTAATACAGACTTATAAACGTTGTTAGGTATTTGAACCAGTTATTTGGTTGCTTATTTGTGTTTTGACTGCACTAGCGTACCTTTTTGAACCTCAACTGTGCAAATCTTAGTGTTTAACCAGTAAGTAAATTCTAATTCTAAAAATTAGCACGTTTTTTATAACTGTTGGTATAAAAACTTTTTAAAAAGTAAAAAAAGCGTAAGTAAAAACCCTAAAAAAGTTTAAATTAACTGAGAATACTTAAAAATATATTTTTAATTTTGACAGATTAGAGGTTATATTTTGTTCCACATATTTCTATAACAAACCATAGAATCTATGAACAAACAAACTATAATATATAAATAATAATAATATAATAACTATAATTTCGGGGAATTTAAATTACCCGCGACAAGATGGCGGCAAGTGTTTGATGACGTAGGTGCGCACAACTGCACCGATTTTGGTTTAAATTTTTAAGCTAAAGAAGAGACCTTGTTGTGTGGTTTGTGATTTTAAGTACCTACGTTTAATTAATAAACCTGTGCCATCAGATAAAATGTACAATAGTCATTCGGCTGGAATGTTTCTTTTTGTGCTTCCCTCAAGTGTACGCCTTTAACCTTTGAGTAACCTTTATTGTTTGCTTGCCTTATTTACTTTTTATCAACTTTTTTTTGTAAACATGGATATAATAAATGTTAAATAAGATGTTTTTATTTTATTTACTTCTTACAAAATATATGAAAAAAACTTTTTATATGCAATGTGTTAGAAGTATGTCATAAAGATACATCATATTAGAATAAAAACAAAAAAATGTGCATTTTTTATTCATTTTAAAAATTGTGCTACAATCGTAGCCCAATTTTCCGACGCATCAGTAATGGTTGCCCGCCCAAGTCAAACAAACATAGGTAGATATATTAGCATTCCAACAATCAATTAAATTACAAATTGTTTAGGTAATCAATATTTATTTATTTGTATTAAAAATTGTGCTACGCTCGTAGCCCAATTTTCCGACGCATCAGTAATGGTCGCCCGCCCAACTCAAACAAACATAGATATGTTAGCATTCCAACAATTAATTTAATTACAAATTATATAGGTAATCAATATTTATTTTAAATTTAGAATTTACATTGCATTTTTTTATTATATATAATTTTTATTAATAACACTGTAGGTAAAATTTCAACTCTTGAAATATTACAGCTAAATGTTCGAACACGTAAACAATTTTTTGGTCGTAGATTCTAAATCCGTGCTGGTTTCAGCTGTATCACTATATACTGTATACTGGTATATTATAATTTGTAAAATAATATATTTTACCTCTTGTGCCAAAATGTCCATGATTTTTATTTTGTTTAATATAATATAAATAATATCCTAAATTATACTTAATTAAAAATCAGCAAAAAAACATTTTGAATTTCCTAAATAATTATTTTATTGTGTAGGTCCAGTAAATTGATTTGTTTCTTCAATATCTTTGAATTTTGACCTGATACAGCCAAACCAAGCACGGATTTGTAATCAACGACCAAAAATTTAGTTTACTTTTACGTGTCCTAATGTTTACCTCCTTACAGTGTATATAAAAAAATATGTTTTATAATAAACCTATGGGGCGCCGTTTTATTTTTTATTCAGTAATTATTTTTATGTGTTATAAATAAAGTCATATTTTTAATTAGATACAAAATATCACACAAGAATTTTTATTTTGCGAATTAACAATATCATAGCAAATATTTAAAAATTAGATTTAATTTTTATGCCAAACTGATATTTTTAATTTAGCGAATTTAAATTATCTGTTTCTTATATTTGTATTTTATTGCTCAATACGCATTTTTAATTCGCAAAATTAAAAATTAGATTTAATTTTTTATGCCATACTGATATTTTTAATTTAGTTAATTTAAAATATTTGCTTCTAAAATTTGTATTTTTTGCTCAACACATATTTTTAATTCGATTAATTAAAAATATCCTATGACAATTTTTTAAATGTATTAAAAATGTCATAGCAGGTATTTTGAATTCGATTTAATTTTTATTTTATTAAATAAGCAGATATTTTTAATTCAATGTGATAATTTTAATTCCGACTGGTTGAGAGTTTGGATACCCCTGTTATTCCAAACGATATAAAAACCGACCCACTCCAACAACAAACTAACGCGCACTGTCCTTGTTCTGCACACGCTGGGTCAGTGCGACATCGGACTCGCGTATGTCGTAGATCTCAGTTATTGTGCCGCCATCTAGCGATAAAATTAATTTGTAATGCCAGGGATGTCCAAACTTTCAGTCGGAATTAAAAATATCACATTGAATTAAAAATATCAGCTTATTTAATAAAATAAAATTTAAATCGAATTAAAAATATCTCCTATGATATTTTTAATACATTTAAAAATTTCTCCTATGATATTTTTAATTAAGCGAATTAAAAATATTTGTTTACCAAAAAAATACAAATATAAGAAGAAAATATTTTAAATTCAATAAATTAAAAATATCAGTTTGGCATAAAAATTAAATCTAATTTTTAATTAAGCAAATTAAAAATATGTGTTTGACAAAAAATACAAATATAAGAAACAGATAGTGGTATACCACTCAACCTAAAAATTTAATCTGTCAAACTATGCTCAGTAAGTTTTTTATTTGATTTTTCTTTTTGGAAAATAGTTTCATGCAAAATAATTAAAAATAAAACCCCTCGACGGCTACGCGGTCTCGTGATTTTATCAAATTATTTTGCATTCAACATTTTCCAAGAAAAACCAAACAAAAAACAACTGAGCCTAGTTTAACCGATTAAATTCATAGTTCACGTGATAATATATGAATGTATCTGCCATGTTTTATACATTTTGATTTTAAAAAGTGTATTTTTATTAATTTTACCACCTACAACAACATAATCTGATAAAAATCATAAGATAAAATGTCAGCAACGACTAAATCTGTTTGTAGATGTCAATACTCACCTTTCTTACTGGCGTGAAAGCTGTCATCCCGGGGCACGTATTGGATATCGTACACCAGAGATGTATACGGAAGCAGCGCTTTGTCTCTATTTATTTTATACACGGCGTATTTGAAAGCCAACTCGGTCGGACCGTCTCTCTGATCCTCTGTAAATATTGCCCCTAAAAAATCAAAACAAACTTGGCTTTATCTGGAATATTTAAAAAAATAATTTATTAGGTAAAAATTTGAAACAATAATTTCTTTAATAATTAAATAATAAAAATAATAATAAACAAGGACCGGATTTTAGGAAAAATGCCTTTTTGTTTATATTTTAGGCATATGTTTGGGACCTTGAAATGAATCCTAAACTAAAAAAATAAAGCTTTTGACACCCCTTTGTTTTTGCCTAAAAGCCTAAAATGGCGAAATTTTGATTTATTGTCCTAGAAGGACATTTTTATGAGCCTAAAATAGGCTCTTTTAATTTTTCAGAAAAAAATATATTTTTCATTGCTAAAGCCAACTTTGACAACCGTTGGAATCAACCTATCGTGCTTTTGTTTCTATTTGTCTGTAGTATTTGTTTATATTTTTTGTCCAGCGTCGGCCTGCTTGTTTCTGATAAGTTTATAGAGATTTAATTAAATAATAGGTATTTCATTTACAAAACCTATTAATATTGCCAACAATTTATTTAGGTTTCAGGGTGGTTGCAGGAGCTGGACAAATATAGTAAAATATTTTGCATTTCAAAGTTGTTAAATTACGTTGCTTAATAAACAATTTAATTTAATATATAATAAAAAAATTTAAATTTGCTTAGATAAAAAGATAAATTATCAATTTAAATTGTTGTTGTAGCAAAATGTATGTAATATAATATACAGTGTGTCCGTAAAGTCCCGGAACATGTGATTATTTTGAAAACGGTAATTTAAAAAAAAAACGCTGAAACACGTCAACTTTTATATTTTTCTAGCAATATTTTAGCCTATGTAGTTGTTCCAAAATCTGCCGCGTGGCGGCGCCACAATCAATGTAAGGTTTTTTTTTAAATTACAACCCTGTATTTTTGTTGCATTTTTGTATAGCTACTGTTGTCCTGAGTACATTGATATGCTACATGTGGAGGGTTACATAAGAAAATTTTTGAGAAAAGTAGGTTTTTGCCGCTGATTGAGATTTTGGTTTTGATGAACTTATTCGCTGTTACGGGGCACCACCACACTATGCATTGCTAGTGAGAGATTATTTAAATCAGGTCTTTTCCAATCGCTGGATAAGTCAAATTGAGTGGCCAGCGCGATCGCCCGATTTGAACCCTTTAGACTTATTTTTATGGGGACATCTTAAAAACCGCGTCTATGTAAACAGGCCTTAAAATTTGGACGACCTAACACACCGCATTCAAGCCGAGATCCAGATGATCACTCCAGCGGTACTGGCAAACGTACAACGCTCGTTTGTAGACAGGCTGGCACACTGCCAAATAGTTTACGGTGGACACTTTGAGCAACTGCTCTGATTGGCTTTCCAAAAAAAGATAAAGCAACGCATAGATTGTATTTAAGTTTGACAAAATACCAAAATCTCATTCGGCGGCAAAAACCTGCTTTTCTCAAAAATTTTCTTATGTAACCCTCCAGATGTGGCACATCAATGTAATCAGGACAACGGTAGCTATCCAAAAATGCAACAAAAATAAAGGGTTGCAATTAAAAAAAAAACTGACTTTGATTGTGGCGCAGCCACACGGCAGAATTTGGAACAACTACATATGCCAAAATATTGCTAGAAAAATAACAAAGTTGACGTGTTTCAGCGTTTTTTTAAAAAAATTACTGTTTTTAAAATAATCTCATGTTCCGGGACTTTACGGACACACTGTATTTGTTAATTGAGTTTGTTGATTTAACCAATTAATTTTGCAAATTTTACAAATTTTTTTTATTGTATTAACAAATATAATATAGCAACCTGTACTATAGTACATATGGTATACACAGTAAAACAAAATTATATCATTTTAAGTAAGATATTTTACTTTTATGTTTTTTCATATTGGCGAAAGATTTGCTTTAAATTTTACAGGTATAAGGTTTTTCTTTTCTTTATTCATACAGTAGTTATTCATATATGCCAATATTGTTTGCTAGAGTTTGTGTTATTATTTTTATTATGTATTTTATATTAAGAGAGATATACTTTTTGATTTATTTTTATTGATGGTACCGTAAACACGGGTGGCTTTAGCTCACTTTCAAACTTAATCTTAACATTTTTGTAGTTTTAACAATCATACACATTAAATATTGTATACCAAAATTTGGGTCTTGAGTTGCTCTTTCATAATAACTATGTTATAATCTTACATAGGGCTGAGTTTCAAAAATAAAAATTAAAAACTGGGTGTGCAAAGTTACCCCCTGGTTGCGGGATACTTTGTCTCACAGTGTATTTTCCGTATAAAATTAACTCAATATTATATTTTTATTAGACATATGTTAGCAGCGACATATAGCAATTGTAAGGGATTACCGATAAAAACAATAAAAAATCGACCTGTAGTTAACCAAAGAATTTCGCATAGTATAGAAATTGAAACGCGTATATTTTTAAGAGTTTTGCACTAATGCAATATATACAACTTTAAAGTGTAATAAAAATTTAAAACACTGATTTTCCTGTAATATAAATCGCTCAATTGACAGGTTTAGACCAACAAATTATAAATGTTAATTTTATCGAGTGCGAAAATTTTTTTCATAAAAGGGCTAGTCACCCGCGGGGTACAAAGTCACCCGTGTTTACGGTACCTGAATAAATTTTATGTTCAATTGTGTTATTTTTATTTCATATCGCCTATTTTAGGCGGTTAAGGCCTATTTTAGGCACATACTGCCTAAATTGGCCTAAAATGTAGGTTTTTATTGCCTATTCATGTTTCCAATTTTTAACGGCCTAAAATCCGGTCTTTGATAATAAATAAACCTATAACATAAAGTAAATACCTTAACTTTGTGGTAAAAATTTGTTCTAAAGAAAAGTTTTAATGATTGTGATTTGGTTGTACCCACTATATAATAATTGTTAAATACTGTTTTGTACATTTTACCAATGAATGATGGGCCACTATAAATTCATTTTAGTTTGTTTCAATTCTTACAATTTTTCTGTTTTTCAACTGGCCCAAATAAATCTGGAGAGTTGATTTTTTAGGAATACGTTATGTATACAATTGAAACGTAACCGTTCTTTTAAGTTCTTGGATTATTATTATATTGAAAAAAAATCATAAAATTTAAAATTTTGCCCTATGAATAGTTAGGTAGAGAAAAAATTTGAAACTTTCAGGAATGTAGTCTCTACCTATATTTTCGGGACAGTAAGTCTTGTTTTGATATTTATGTCCTCTAAAAAATATATTTTTTAAATTCTATTTTGAAAAGAAAATATAGGTAATAAATTTATAAGGCTGACTCGAAGAGTAATGCCAAAATATTGAGTAGATGTAATAGCTGATATATAAAAAAGTCTTAAATAATAAATGAACTTTATTGCAAAAAAAGGTTAATACAATTTCTTACAAATGGCCATTGACCGAGGTCCTTCAGCCGGAGAAGTCTTAAAATAAAAATAAACCTTTAAAACCTTATAACACAAAAACTAGTATACTAATGTAATATCAATTATTAATTCCTGCACAAGCAGAGCTGCAACAAGTCAGTTTTAAAAAGACTTAAATCTTAAGTCTTAAGTCAATTCTAAAATCAAAATGATTTAAATCTTAAGTCAATTCTAAGATAAAGTTCAAATGATTTAAGTATTAAGTCTTTGAATTAAATCATTTTCTTTCAAGTCAAGTCATTTTCGCAAATTCTTAAATCAATATAGTGATTTAAGTCATCTTATGACTTAATTCCTTTAGTAAGTCGTTTTTATGACTTAAGTCTATATTTTTTATTTAAATCGTGATCTAAGAGTTAAGTCAATAAAATGACTTGAATCAAAAATTGTGATTTAAATCAAAATAATTACCCTTAAGTCAATACAACGATTTTAACATAACTACGCACGAACATGACGAATGTTAGCAAACAAAATAACAAAATTATAAATCCCCACTTTTTTTAATTCATTTTAGACAGGACATTTTTTAATGTAGCCGTCAAACGGTTCCAAAAAGCTAACTTTACCGCGGCGGTTTTTTTATCCACTAGCGGTAGCAATTGTAGGTAGGAAATTAAAGGAGTTTTTGATCTGCTGCCGCGTGAACCCCTGGCAGTTCAAAAGAAAATGCCGCTGTTAAAAATTTATAAAAAAATATATGAAAAATTTGACTTAAATATTTTCTAAAAAGACTTAAATCTTTTTTTGACTTAAATAGTTTCTATCTGACTTAAATCGTATGTACTGATTTAAGCCTTTTATAAATGACTTAAGTTTTTTCTATTTTGAAAAAAATATTTAAGTCACAAATCATTTTGAAAATTACTTAAATTTTAAGTCTTAAGTCAGTTTTAAAGAAATGACTTATTACCAAATGACTTAAGTCATTAAAACGATTTAAATCAAAAAAACGATTTAAGTTTTCTGAGAGCTTGCAGCTCTGTGCACAAGTGGGTTTAATTGTTTTTAGACTAAAACATACCCTTCCTAACAAATATAATATGTTATTGTGTTTGTAGTTCATTCGAACATATATTTATAGAACCGCTTAATTGGCTTTCAGTTGGTTAGTAGGTCTTGAAACCCCTAGTTTAAATACCTCCTCTGTAATTATAAATCCTATAAATTAATCGCAATATTATTAACTTCACTGGAAATGAACATTTTCGTATCCCTACATAAATCTTACTACGGACCTAATTAACACAGTCGACGTCTGGATTAGTAAATGAAATCGTGACCACTTAATTGAAAATCAAATTTCAATTTCAAATTAATCTGATACTATTAATGTTTACATTTTTAAAACTAAATGGTATCATAATATCTTTATTTCGTAAAATAGTTAGGCCAACTAGTTTTCCGTTATCTTAATTGTTTGGGGTCAAATAATCACGATTGCTGTTAATATTTGGGATAAATTAAATGAGGTGAATATAACGATAAGAATATGTTCATTGTGTGAGCATTAAAATTATATTGTGCAGAACTTTATTATTGATCTATA